AGGCAAGGTGGTTTAGTGTTTAGAAGCATAAACTTTGCAACTTGACTGCCAGGTTTGATGTGTATCCTTGAGAAGGTGATTTAAGTTTCCTTATCTGTAAGGTAAAATATGTGCCTTAATGGGTTGGTATTAACATTAAGTGAGTTAATATTTGTTAAGTACTTGTCAAACTTCCCCTTTGCAGTGCCACAAAGAAGGAAACTTTATTCAGTGCAAAACAGCTCAAATGTGATACAGCATGGCTGTGAGGTGGCCCTGGGACCAGGTCCCTTTTCAGTTACTTATCCTTGTTCTACTCTGGTCTGGTCTGGTCTTTTCTGTTGTGCCCTAAGTTGGTCTGCTGTTTTCTGCCCTGCCTCACTCTGCACTGCTCTCCACCTAGGGAATCTTCTGTCTTTGGTGGAAAGGGAAAGTGTGCTCTCTGAACCAGAGGGAAGCTGGTTTATAAAGAAGTCCCTGTCCCTGGTCCCTGATTGGTCCATCCTCATGCAAATGAGGACTTCAGATCTTCCCAGTTTGGTCCAAAAGCGTTGATGTCTTGATTGGTCTGAATGGAGCTGCTACGATTGGTCAGTGAAGATGCTGATGGGGATATAGTTGCACAGCTCCAGTTAGACAAGGAATGTCTCAGTCCTGTTGGTTGAAATAGGATTCCAGGAACTCAAGGGCAGGCTCAGATGGCAGAAACAGTGTAGGAAGGCAGTTCAGTGCAGAAGGAAGGCAGCTTAGTGCAAGCTTCTCCCTGAAGTGTGGTTTGGGTGAGAGATCCTTTTTAGAGCTGCTAGCCTCTGGTTTTGTTTTGTTTTTAATTTAAGGTCAGTTAAACCACCAGGAGCCCTTCGTAGTAGGCAGCTTCTTTTTCAGGGCTCACATACTTAAAGCAGCATCTGGCATATAGGAAGCCTTAAATTTGTTAAATATACAATTTAAAAAGCAACAGAGGTGCCCTCGCCAAATGGCTAAGCTGGTTGGAGCGTCATCCTTTATATCAAAAGGTTTCAGGTTTGATTCCCGATCAGGGCACATACCTAGTAGGTTGCAGGTTTGATCCCATTCGGGGCACATATGGGAGGCAACCTATTGATGTTTCTCTCTCACATCAGTGTTTCTTTTTCTCTCTTTCAAATCAGTAAACATATCCTCAGATGACGATTAAAAACCCACGAAAAACAGGTGTATTGGTAGCCTGGATGCATTTAAGGACTATAACACTGAAGACTGAGTGGTCCCTGGAATTTCTACCTAGACTGTTCTATAGTCTGTTCTCCAGTATTAGAATGACTGTAACATTTTTTTGCTCCCATTTGCTTCCTACATTTATAAGTTTTTATGTGAAAGGTCTGACCTTCTTAATACATTTGAATATTGGTTATCCCCACCCCCCATTCCCTACCCATCAGAGAAATGACTGGTATAAGAAGCAGGTAGATGTGCAGGTGGTTTCTTCATTTGATTCTCAAGAGCTGCTTCAACACCACGCACATTGGATATTTTGTCCCACCTTGAGGTGTGTCACTGTATCAGGTGTTCAAGAATGCTGAGAAGGCTGGTCTGTGTGTGATGTAACTATGCTCTGAGACAATCTGGCCCTGAACACTTGTTAATGCTTTGGGATAGCTGCTGAACGTGTTTCTTCTTGGCCATGAGTTTCTCTGTTTACCTCATGTTAGAGGAAATGACTTTAAAGGTTCTTTGAACTTGAACTTCGTAATCTGGTCATCTACAGATAATGTATCTTGCTTGCAGCCTGGATTTGGTAATGTGCCTAAATAAAAATCATATAAATTGTTAGTTATGAATTTATAAAAGTTCACTTGTTTGTGATACTCAAGTAAATCTTTTTTTTATTTTTTTAAAGAGAATTTGATGACCCTCAAATTTAATGACATACAGTTTTTAGTTTGTAACTTTCATGATGCATCATTTTAAAAAATTTATTGAGGTATAATTTTATGTACAATAGGCTGCATCCCTTTACAGTGTATAAATCAGTGGGTTTTGCCAGATGTATACTCCTATAAAACCATTACCAAAATCAAGATACAGAACATTGCCCTAGCTGGTTTAGTTCAGATAGAGCATCGGCCTGTGGACTGAAGGGTTCCAGGTTCGATTCCAAACAAGGGCACATGCTCGGATTGCAGACTCAATCCTCCAGTGGGGGGCATGCAGGAGGCAGCAGATCAATGATTCTCTCTCATCATTGATGTTTCTATCTCCCTCTCCCTCTCCCTTCCTCTCTGAAATCTATAAAAATATATTTTTAAAAAAGGTACAGAACATTTCCTCATGCACCAGTGCAGTCAGTCTTTCTCTCTACTCCTGTTTTACCAATCTCTTGTTATTATAAACTAGAGGCCCGGTGCACCAAATTTGTGCACAGGGAGTGTGTCCCTCAGCCCAGCCTGCACCCTCTCAAATCTGGGATATCCCTCTCACAATCCAGGACTGCTGGCACCCAACCGCTCGCCTGCCTGCCTGCCTGATTGCCCATAACTGCTTCTGCCTGCCAGCCTGATCACCCCCTAACCACTCCCCTGCCAGCCTGATCGATGCCTAACTGCTCCCCTGCTGGTCCAATTGCCCCTAACTGCCCTCCCCTGTTGGCCTGGTTACCCCCTACTGGCCCGGTCACCCCAAACTTCCCTCCCTTACCAGCCTAGTCGCCCCTAACTGCCTTCCCCTGCAGGCCACGTTGCCCCCAACTGCCCTCCTCTGCAAGTCTGGTTGCCCCCAACTGCCCTCCCCTGCAGGGCTGGTCCCCCCCCAACTGCCCTTCCCTGCAGGCCTGGTCGCCCCCAACTGCCCTCCCCTGCAGGCCTGGTTGCCCCCAACTGCCCTCCCCTGCAGGGCTGGTCCCCCCCCAACTGCCCTTCCCTGCAGGCCTGGTCGCCCCCAACTGCCCTCCCCTGCAGGCCTGGTTGCCCCCAACTGCCCTCCCCTGCAGGGCTGGTCCCCCCCCAACTGCCCTTCCCTGCAGGCCTGATCATCCCCAACTGCCCTCCCTTTAAGGCCTGGTCCCTCCCAACTGCCCTCCCCTGCTGGCCTGATCACCCACAACTGCCCTCCCCTGCCGGCCATCTTGTGGCAGCCATATTGTGTGTTGGAGTGATGGTCAATTTGCATATTACCTCTTTATTAGATAGGATTATTAGATAGGTTTTTTTTTTAGAATTCTATTGCATGGAATTATGTGGTATCTATTATACAGCATTGTATACCATTTAAGAACTAAAATAGTACAATGTTGATCTTTAGTATCATGATTCACAAAGTTTTAAATCACCAAGAATAATAACATGCTATTATCTTAAATTGGCCTCACATTTATTCTTACCTTCTGTGCTTCACATCTTTTTATTTTTTATTTTATTTATTTTAATGTATTTTTAATTGATTTTTTACAGAGAGCAAGGGAGAGGGATAGAGAGTTAGAAACATTGATGAGAGAGAAACATCGATTAGCTGCCTCCTGCACACCCTCCTACTGGGGATGTGCCCGCAACCAAGGTACATGCCCTTGACTGGAATCGAACCCGGGACCCTTCAGTCCGCAGGCCGACGCTCTATCCACTGAGCCAAACCGATCAGGGCTTCACATCTTTTTAAAATAAGAATTAGAATAGAGTTTTTGGTAAAAACATTAATCTTAGAACAGCCTATTTTTTTCACATATAAGTACCTCCTTATTTATTTAGTGTTGTTACCAATAATTTTTCCTTAAGCATTTAGATTTTCCAAAAAGATCTATGTACTGTTATCAAAGAATTTAGTGGAGATGACTGCACTTGCACTGCACGTTTTTCTTTGACAGTAATGTGAAAAGAAAAAAAAATTCTAAATCATCTTAAACCAGTGAATAAAGTCTCCAGAATATTGACTCTGAACCTATTGCTTTTTTTAAACCTTGTAACTCTTTTTTTGAGAACACTTATTTTGAAGTATTCAAATTTTACTGCATTTTCATCACTATTATCTGTTGACAGTTACCAACTGTAGTTTGAATTTAACTCTAGCAACTTACTGGATTTGTTTGTAATTTTGGTGTTTCCTATATTATTTAAGCATGGTGAAAATATAAATACTTTTTCCCCATTAATGGGGCACTATGATTAACTTCTATAGTTTATACACTTTATAAACCAAAAGTAGTCTTTGCCTTTCTTATGGGAGAAGCATGCCTGGTTTTAACAGACAGTATATATAAATGACAGAGTACTATAACTATGGCAGTTGCATATATGGGTGAATTGTAAGATGATCAAGGGGGAAGCAGATAAACTCTCTTGATTAATACGTGAGTTCAGTTTTGTTTTGTTTTTTAATTGAATTATTGAGGTGACATTGGTTCACAAAATCATAACATGTTTCAAGTGCATGACTCAATAAAACAGTGGTTCTCAACCTTCCTAATGCCGCGACCCTTGAATACAGTTCCTCATGTTGTGACCCCCAACCATAAAATTATTTTCGTTGCTACTTCATAACTGTAATTTTGCTACTGTTACGAATCGTAATGTAAATATCTGATATGCAGGATGTATTTAGGCGACCCCTGTGAAAGGGTTGTTGGACCCCCAAAGGGGTCACGACCCACAGGTTGAGAACCTCTGCAATAAAACATCATCAGTATACTACCTCAGGTACCCATTGCCCAAAGCAAAGTCTCTTTCCATCCCCATGTATCTGCCCTTTGCTCTCTTCCACCTACTCCCATCCCCCTTTCCATCTGGCTATGACCACATTGTTGTAAGTGTCTATGTGTTTTATATACCTATATATGTATATTTTTTCTTAATCCTTTCACCTTCTCTCATCCAGCCCCACCAAAGCCCCTACACTCCTCTGACAGCTGTCAATTTGTTCCCTGTCTATGCCTCTGTTTTTATTTTGTTTGTCAGTTTATTTTGTTCATTAAGTTCCACATATAAGTAAGATCATATGGTATTTGTCTTTCTCTGACTGGCTTATTTCACTTAGCATAATAATCTCCAGATTCATCCATGCTGTTGGAAAAGGTAAGATTTCCTTCTTTTTTACAGCCCAGTAGTATTCCATTGTGTAAATATACAACAGCTCTTTTACCCACTCATGTACTGGTGGGCACTTCGGCTGTTTCCAGATCTTGGCTATCCTATTCAGTAGGTCCTCGGGTTATGTTGGAGATCCGTTCCTACGCTGCAACGTAATGTAATTTTTGCCGTAAGTCGGAACCCACCTACATAAGCACCTAAGTCATTCACATAGAGCACATACACAGCAGTAATGAAGTGAAACAGTAAAAAAAATTTAAAAGAAAGATAACAATTCCTGACCTTTACTTGTGGTAAATAAATAATAAAAAACATAAAGCACATATGTACATACGTTGAAATGATGGAACTTTTTTTTTAATAAATAAATGGGAGATGGTGACGTAACCAGGAAATGACGTATATCGAGTCCGATGTAACTTGAGGACTGCCTGTATAATAAAAGCCTAATATGCTAAGTGTCCAGTGACTGGTCGACTATTCAACTGATCAAAGTGCAATACGCTAATGATATGCTAAGGCCGCTTAACCATTTGCTATGACATGCACTGACCATTAGGGGACAGACACTCCGACCCATAGGTTAGCTTGCTGCTGGGGTCCGGCTGATCGGGACTGAGCGAGACCGGCCAGACATGCCCTGGAGCCCTCCCGCGGTCCCTCCCCAACTGGCCAACCTCCTACGTCTCTCCCTGACCCCGATCATGCACTGGTGGGGTCCCTCAGCCTGGCCTGCACCCTCTCGAAAACCAGGACCCCTTGGGGGATGTCGGAGAGCCGGTTTTGGCCGATCCACAGGCATCTATAATAATAAAATAATATGCAAATCAACCAAACTGCTGAACAGCGGAACTACCGTCTAGATGACCTTCCAGATGAAGCTGGGGCTGCGAAGGCCTACTCTTACACAAATTTCTTGCATCGGGCCTCTAGTTATAAATAATGCTGTAATGAATATGGGGATGCATATAGTTTTTCTAATTAATGTTTCAGTTTCTTCAGATATATTTTCAGAAGTGGGATCACTGTATCAAAAGGCAGTTACATTTTTAATTTTTTGAGAAAACTGTTTTCCACAGTGGCTGTACCAGTCTGAATTCCCACCAACAGTGCAATAGGGTTTCCTTTTCTCCACATCCTCACCAGCACCTGTTTGTTGATATAGTGATGATAGGCATTATGACAGATGAGAGGTGATACCTCCTTGTGGTTTTCATTCACATCTTCGATGATTAGTGACATTGAGCATTTTTTTTCTTATGTCTATCTTTGTGTCCTCTTTGGAGACATGACTATTCAGGTCCTTTGCCTTTTTAAAATTTAGTTGTTTGTCTTGGTGTTGAGTTGTATAAGTTTTTTATTGGCAAATATGTTCTCCTATTCAGTGGATTCTTTTATCATTTTATTGATGGTTTCTTTTGCTGTGCAAAAGCTTTTTAGTTTGATTAAGTCCCATTTGTTTATTTTTTCCTTTGTTTTTCTTGCCTTAGGAGACATATGGGCAAAAAATATTGCTACAAGAAATGTCTGGCCCAGGTGGCGTGACTCAATGGTTGAGTGTCGACCTGTGAACCAGGAGGTCAGGGTTGAATTCCAGGTCAGGAGGGGAACATGCTTGGGTTTCAGGCCTGATCCCCAGTGCAGGATGCAGCCATCAATGATTCCCTCTCATCACTGATATTTCTATCTCTCTCTCCCTCTCCATCCCTGTCTGAAATCAATAAAATATATATCTAAAAGAAAAAAATAAATGTCTGAAATTTAGTGCCGCCCTAGGGTATTTATGGTTTTGCAAATAACATTTAAGTCTAATCCATTTTGAGTTTATTCTTGGGTATGGTACAAGTTGTGGTCTAGTTTCATTACTTTGCTCTATCTGTCCAATTTTCCCAACATCATTTATCTCATTGTATATTCTTGCCTCCTTTGTCAAATAGTAATTGACCATAGAGGCATTGGTTTATTTCTGTGTTCTCTATTCTGATCCATTGATCAATATACCTGTTCTTGTGCTAATACCATGCTGTTTTGATTATATGGCCTTGTAGTGTAGTTTAATATCAGGTAGTTTAATACCTCCAACTTTTTTCTCAAGATTGCTAAGGCTCTTGTCTTTTGTGGTTGCATATAGACTTTTGGCATGTTTGTTCTAGACCTGTGAAATATTTCATTGCTTTTTAATAGTAATCTATAGATTGCTTTGGGTAGTATAGACATTTTAATGATGTTAATTCTTCTAATACATGTACATGGTATATGCTTCCTCAGTTTCTTTTTTCCAGGCCCTATAATTTTCCAAGTAAAGGTCATTTACCTCCTTGGTTAAATTTATTCCTAGGAATCTTATTTTTTGTTGTTGCATTTTTTTTTTGAGAAAAGCCAGTGTAAAGCACTGTATTACAATATTAAAACTTGAAACTCATTCATATGTAGTGCAGGGGAGGTGGGTGGGGGATAGGCAGCAATAATTTCTCTCACCAAATCACTAGAGGACAGCAAAGGAGTGAGAGGAGGGAAGAAAAAGCCAGGAAACTTTGAGCT